TATATATATATATATATATATAATCAATTATACACTACAAAAATCTGGAATTTTACCAGGGGTTTTTTTTCATATTTCCGGCGGTTTTAACCCCTTGTAAATGCATTTCCCGCGGTTGGAAAAACCGTCGGGAAAAGCACCGTCGGCAGATATTTTTCGGGGGTTTTACAAAAACCGCCGGTATTTGCGGGGGTTTGATAAAAACCGCCGGTATTTGCGGGGGTTTGATAAAAACCGCCGGTATTTGCGGGGGTTTGATAAAAACCGCCGGTATTTGCGGGAGTTTGGTAAAAACCGCCGGTATTTGCGGGAGTTTGGTAAAAACCGCCGATATTTGCGGGGGTTTTATGAAAACCGCCGATATTTACTGAGGTTCAGCAAAACCGCCGGTACTTGCAAGGGTTCTCCAAAACCGCCGGTAATTACTGAATTTTCATAGTTAAGATTTCTAGAACTGTCAGTAAATAATTTGTTTTTCATTATTCAAATGAATTTAATAATCATAAAATATGTTTTAATAATAAACCAAAATGTGAAACCAAAATTAAATATTATTATAAAAAATAAACCATAAATGTTAGAAATACAATTAATTGTTCAAATTAAAAATAATATGTTCATCCCTAAAAATTAAAATAAACATTTTCTAAATTACAATCATCAATTTTGTTGTTCTTCATTGTCTTCATTGCCTTCATCATTTGGCACACTTCTTTTATCATATATCTACAATATAAAATAATAATTTGTTAGTATACTAATGGTATGCATTGGCTCTATCAAGACAAAGTGATTAATAAATGCTCCATTCCTAAGTAAAGTAACTTTGTTTAGATGAGAAAAATATCATAAAATACTTCACAGACACTTCAAATACTCCTGGTTACATATTAAGATAATTTTACTTTAACTTAAAAATATTTAAATTAGTAAAGACAAAAAGATATCTATAAATAAATTGTAACATTTTATTATGTCTACAATGACCCATGCTCATTTTATAAGAGTATCACGTTGGATTCAATGTGTTTTATGTTAAATTTATATTAGTTTCATATATTATAGATAATCACGTTTTCTAAATCATGAAATTACTTTGATTCAAATAACATAGGCTTAGTTTAACAACTATTGATCAATAACCAAATCTTACCTCTTGGAATGAATCCCATCAGCAGATTCTCCGTTTGTTTTACCAAGTTCACTACTTTTTACTGTAATCCACATATTCAAACTACAGCCACTAGCATTTCCTTTTGATCTTTTGACTCGTAATTTTTCCTTCACCTCAGGAGGTTTAGCACCAACTTCAATGTTGCTTGGGTTATTAATTTCCCTGCATGTCAACTTGTAGGTTACTTTTACTTGGATAAAGACAATTAGCGCACATGAAGGAGAAAAAAGACAAATGCAAAACACTAAAAAATACTGTTGGAGTTTGTTTACCAAAGGCCACTCAGTTTACATTAACATCTAGATTGAGAAAGCTTGTCAAGCAGAAATGGTTTGGTTATTTTTTTCACTTGCGGATAGTGATCAACTTGCAAAGGATTTTGACAAAGCCTGAAAATTCAGTAGCCCAAGATCAGATAGCATTTATGAAACCTCGATGGAAATTTCCAATTGCAAGCTAAAAGTTAATCCGAATCAGGATCTTAGACATTAGAAGCTTCAATGGTTTAATTAACCAAAAGTAAGGATAAACAACATCTCCTAAGTCAATTTTAATTTCCCTTTTTGAATACCAATATCCCCACAATGTCCTAGAGATCTCACACATAAAGATTATAAAGAATTAGTAAGTATATAATTTGATTAAAAATTATGAAAAAGTGTAGTGAAGATTAGAATGAAATGTATATATACATTATCGAGTGAGAAAAAGTGTAGCTTTGGGATAGATCTAAAGGCATACATATCTGGGCAAGTAGTTTCCTTAGAATTGCAGGTTTCCCATCCGCGTACTTGATCAGACCATGTTTTCTGTTTCAGAGAATTTGGAGTAAGCATCAATCTTTGATAAGAAGTATCATACATTGGGATAAAATACCGTTATATTCTCTTGAATGGCTTTGGTGAAGCTATTTATGTCTGAGTCATAAAATCTTTCTTTGGCTGTTTCAATTATGTTGACATCCCAAACCTGTGTAGCAAAAAATTGGTGAGTAGAGTAGATGGTGAAATAGATCATACAGTAGTAGTGAATGAACCTGAGAATTAGACTTACATGGTGAAGATTTTGCTTCCTTCTATACCAGTGAATGTTAATTAAATTGCCTCCTTTGTCAGAGGTAAATCCCACATGTAGAGGGTGCCGATTCACCACGCAAAAGAGCCATTACAATAACTAAATTGCAAAGTCAGATGCTAGCTTAGTATATGGTGATTTTTGTGGTTTATCATGCTCACCTGATGTACATCTCCCATAAAATGAGAGAGGAACAAAAGAGTTTGTGTGAGGATATCTGATATCATGATTTCACCAATTCAATAAGAATTTGGTCAGTGAGAGAATAAGATATAAACAAAAAAATTGGGAAAAAATAGAGGTTGTAAGCTCATAGCAATGGTTTACATGGAGTGTCTTTGCCATAGTCCAGGAGCTGGTCTGTGTAATTCTTAATCGCTCTCACAACAAATCCTTGCAATCCCCTGAATTTTCAGACAGCTGATCAAAACTATCCCACATCACCCGCATCACCGGATTTCTAATCTATAAATTTTAGAATCCCAAAAGCGAATCTGATTTATGAGATTCTGCACTATCAGCAATTGATAATTTTTCAGAACTGTACAAATAATGTATCCTATAATAGTGTTAGATTATTTAACACAAAAACAGAAAATAAACACCAAAATCCTAAGGAGGACAAACATGGATATTAAATTAGGAGCAGAAGATGAGAAATGAACTTACTGTCATACTGATAATTGCAATGGTTGTCTGGCGTATCAGCAAAGTGCAATGCAGAAGATCAGTGCAAATAAACTTCGAATGTCTGGCCGAATAATTATGAAATCTCTTCGTAATCGTAATAGTGTTTCCAGAGTGCGAAAGAAAAGAAACTAACATCAATTCCTATTTCCATAATATCATGTCAAATTACCAATTTTAATGCGATCATTCATCATTCGAGTTCTAATAAATCTATACATGTTGCGTTAGGATACTGAAAGCAAAGCCATAATAGGAGAAATCATATGAAAGATAAACTTACTTCATCCCAAGACTTCTCCTGAGCAAGTCGTGGATATAGAGGCACCTTAGGATTGACAAATGATATGGAATTGGATACTGCCATAAGCTTAGGCTGCATTGTTCAATCAGATGACTCTAAGTCAGCCAAAAAAATCATATTCATTTAGTAAGAATGGGAGGGAGATAACAGGTTAAAGTAGCTATCTCATATCTCATCTACTTGCTTTACTCATAACCCTTCCCAAATTTCAAAAGAAAGTTTCTAATGTTACTACCTTCTTTGTATGGTCTAGAAAATGTTCAACATGTGCTATTTGCCCAGTTTTGTTAGTTGTCATCTCTAGTAGCTTTTAGATTAGTAGTAAACTTGGCATACTATGTATCTATCCATTGTCTTTCATCTCATAGACAATAATACTAACCTTGTTGAAATTGAAGATTGATCTTTATAGTACACTAACAAAACATCTATAAGCTAAAATAAAGTTAGAATGTTATTCTGCAAAATAAATTGTATCTTCATCAGCCAATCCGTAATAGAAAGCAGACAAACACACTTTTTAGGAGCAGAAGATAAGTTGATATTAATAAATTAATCAATGTAGCAATTCAAATACTGCTACTAATAATAATAAACTACAACCTTTTTATTAAATCTTCCAAACATTTAATAAAAGAACTCATATTCTGGAATGAAAAATTAAGATCATGACCTTTTCAATTGCAAATCTTCAAAATAAAATCAATCGAATTCTCTGTTTCAGAAAAAAAAATAAAGACAAAAACCATAGATAAAAAATAGTGGCAAACCTGGACTTTAGATGAGGGTTTGGTCTTGACCATTGGAGGGAACAATTGTCAAGATCGCCAAGCCTGTAATACTGTGTATTTAATGAATCGGCGCTGCAAACATGAAATATACAAACTTTAGGGCAAATTGGATGATTCAATTGAAAAATACATGAGGTTTATTTAGGTTTTGGGAAAATAGGTATTACAATAGCTGAACCAGTGCGCGTCGAAGCTAGCAGTGTACGATACTTTGTGATAAGGGGTAAAGCTTAAAGCTTCCTACTCCTCCGACTGGATTTTTCTCTTTGTTCCTCTGACGTTTCTGCTCATCGCCAACATCGCCGTTCTCAGCGTTGCCGTTGTTAGGGATGTGAGCTTGGTTGATTGTGTCGGAAAGAGAAGCATATATTCTTCGAAAGGGGTTGTCGTCGGAAAATAGGGAGACAGTGGTTGCGGTGTCCTGCTCCGGCACGTTGTAGAAGAGAAGCCATATTGAGATGCAAAGAGAAGCCATGGAGGCGCAAAGAAGTCCAGAGGCAGCGAAGAAAATGAAAACCTAGAGAAGATGAAAAGGTGAATTGAAAGTGCGGCGAGGAGAATTAGGTTTAATAAAAATATTCGCAATTTTTTTCGAGGTTTTATAAACCGCCGAAATAAAACCTCTACTATAATCTATTATTTTTGTAGTGATAAATTGTAATATTAAAAGGAAAAATAAATTGTCGCATGATTGGTGGGAAATGTTCTTCACCCACGGCTTGTTTGATTATCAATGGAAAGATAAGTTGGCACCACTACACCTCCCTGTAAGAGCAAAAGCACCGCTCTAGTCTTGAGTTAATTCCTTCCAGTTTTACCTTCTTGACATTTTTTATATCAATCCATACGAGGAAGATTCCTTTAGCTTTTTGTTTTTATATGATTGAAATGTACTTATTTAGGAGGATCTTGATAGTTATAAACACTTACAGTAATTGAAATGATTTCGGTCTTATCAAATTGTGGCGGTTAGAATTAATTAAGTAAACATTAAAATGAATTAATACATCATTAACCATGTTAATTATGATGATTATCCACATTAACCATATCCGTCCAAGTAAAATCCATATAGTATAAATAGCAAAAATTTTTAGATAAACAATTACTATTCATTATTACTACTTTTATTACTCTAGCTGATATGTGATATTATTTCAATAAACGTGTGTTTGAGCTGTTTCACAACAAAAATATTTGATAAATTTTATTGGACTGTACTATTTATATTGAGTCAAATATGAAAGTGTAATAGATATATTTTTTCACTAATAATCATAAAATAAAATAAAAAATTGACGAAGAAGTTATTATTGAAAGACATAAGAACATGCTATTGTTCCGAAGATAATAAAAAAGAAGTTAAATTTACTAATACACCAATATGAAAGAACGCAGGGAGTTATGAAGAAATAAAAACTTCTACAAAATAAAAATATCTCTTATTGTTATAAAGAAATAGTTATATTTTATAAATAACAATTGAACATATAATTTTTAGATGTTAAAAATTAGCATAAAACATCAGCAATTATGTAATGTTTTTACAAAAAGGATAAATAAATCTCCGACAAAATAAGAATATGATAAATATCTCATAATAAAGAAATAGTTATATTTTAGTAACAAGAGTGAAGTATAATATATATTTTTATGTTAAAAGACAGGCATAAAACATAACAATTACGCAATGCCAAATGTAAAACTCATATTGATGTCTTGTCCAAAAGATTACATCAACTTCTCAAATTCTCGTAATCGATTATTTTTCTCTTTTAAGTTTTAATTTAATTATTTGTAGTCCTTTCTTCAGTGTAACATATTTGATTGATTATTTATTATTTTTTATTTATTTTTATACTGTTCATTTTCCTTCTGTGTAACATTCCAGATTATATATGAACATATAACATAGTAAGTCTACATTTAAATAAGAGAGAATAGTTAAAGTAGACTGTAAATAAAGTTAAGCTTACAGTCATCCCAAAACGAGGCAGAATTTAAAACTTAAGCAAATGAAGTATTTCAAAAGGGTAGGAATCACAGGTGGATTCATAACAACTGAATATTAATTCCAAATACCGAAAAAAAAAAATTATAGAACCCTAAGGAGACTAAGCAGCAACATCGTCTTCCTCCAAAGGCTGCTCCAGAGGCACCTCATCCGCCTCTGCTCACATCCAAATGGATGATCATTGCAAAAGAAATCATACCCAAGCAAACACAAAACACAAGCAAGGGTGAGTTAGATATAAAAGTCATGTTATAACAATCATACACAATAGACAGTTAAATACAGATACTAGACCATACAAACTTGACTTGTTACACTTAAACTTGACTCGTCCGGACTAGAATGATTGTCGAGCTATGGCAGGTTATGCACTCGTGGTTGCCTCTACTGCTTTGCAAAGTCATTGCCAATGGGTTTCACCCTACCACACTCACGAGGTTAGTCTGTTATCACTCACCTTGGGTCATACTGGAAGCACCCAAGGCTAGGACCTCCTACTACTCCTCACCACATGGATCAATCCTCTCTACTTGAGAATGAAAGACCATTGGAGCATCAGGAAAACCCCTAATATTGAGCTACCATGCAAATCATTCTAAACATTAAGGGCACCACCATGAATCTTCTCCTTGAATATCATGTAATTACGTCCAACACTATAGGGCACCACCATGTGACCTCCCTTTGAGATCCATGGAATTACGTCCATTAACCATACTTGTTGCACTTACGCCAATCACAACTTTGTTTCATATATACTTTCAAACTATAATTCACATACAATACACATACCCTCAATCATGTTGCAAAATCAAGCCACCCAAATCAGTTATATAGACATACATACACCCTGGCAGTCAAACAACATCAAACAGCTCAAACAGATGAGNGCATACCCAAGCAAACACAAAACACAAGCAAGGGTGAGTTAGATATAAAAGTCATGTTATAACAATCATACACAATAGACAGTTAAATACAGATACTAGACCATACAAACTTGACTTGTTACACTTAAACTTGACTCGTCCGGACTAGAATGATTGTCGAGCTATGGCAGGTTATGCACTCGTGGTTGCCTCTACTGCTTTGCAAAGTCATTGCCAATGGGTTTCACCCTACCACACTCACGAGGTTAGTCTGTTATCACTCACCTTGGGTCATACTGGAAGCACCCAAGGCTAGGACCTCCTACTACTCCTCACCACATGGATCAATCCTCTCTACTTGAGAATGAAAGACCATTGGAGCATCAGGAAAACCCCTAATACTGAGCTACCATGCAAATCATTCTAAACATTAAGGGCACCACCATGAATCTTCTCCTTGAAAATCATGGAATTACGTCCAACACTATAGGGCACCACCATGTGACCTCCCTTTGAGATCCATGGAATTACGTCCATTAACCATACTTGTTGCACTTACGCCAATCACAACTTTGTTTCATATATACTTTCAAACTATAATTCACATACAATACACATACCCTCAATCATGTTGCAAAATCAAGCCACCCAAATCAGTTATATAGACATACATACACCCTGGCAGTCAAACAACATCAAACAGCTCAAACAGATGAGGAAAACTGTGAAACCCACTGAACCAAGTCGCACAGCGCACCAAAATGCAAGGCAAGACAACAAAAATTTGCCCAGCGCACCACCCTTGGTGCGCTGAGCGAATTTTCCTAACGAAGGGAATGTTTTTCAGCTAAAATTCGCATATCGCACCACCCTTGATGCGCTGGGCGAATTTTCCTAACAAGGGGATAGCTAAAATTCGCATAGCGCACCAAGTTTGTGCACTATGCTAAACTAAAAATTCTAATACAAATTATCACACCCTAAACCCTCGCATAGCTCCCCAAATTTGCTATTCGAATTAATTTAGTCTTTCTCAAGCAACCCCCAGTCGCACGACGCCCGGATTCACTATGCGAATCACCAAACATAGAGCAACCCTCTCTAGCCATTCGCACAACGCACCAACTCGCGGTGCGAATGATCAAATAGAGAGCACCTCTCTACGAGGACTCGCTATGCGAAAACATTCGCTTAGCGAGTCTGCATAATCTGCAGAACGTAAGTTTTTGCTAAATTATGCAACTCAAACACCCCTTAACATTTCTAATCATTTTTCCCAACTTCTAACATCTCTAATTTATATTTTATACTTAATTAAACTTGTCTAGATGATCTAAAACCTTCCTACTACCATTCTAAAGTAATTACAACTCAAATTCAACTCTAAAACATAATTTCCACCACTTAGGGACCCAAATTCGATTCAACCATTTTGCACCTGTTTTGATCAGTTTGATGACTCTAACAAGTCACAAATAACCTCTCTATATTGTCCCAACAGACTATAAGAGCCCTAGACCCTTAACTCTCAAATTCACTATCCCACTTCCTCTCAAAGTGACCTAAGAACTATATAAGCTCCAAATTTCCTATCCAACCAAGGTTATACAGACTTCACACTTCACTCACTTCCAATTTATCAATTATAACCATTCCAAACCCATCCAAATCAATTCCAAACATCACAACACAGTTTCATAACATATGAACAAGACGTACCATTTCATACACTCAAAACTTAACATATAGTCCAAACAGCAGAATATTACAGATTTCATCACACATGCATACCATACAATAAAATCAAAGAATGTCTAGCTCCCCTTACCTTGTGGTTACAGTACAGTACAACTCACAACAATAGCAAGGCTTTGATAGCTACACAACCAGCACCCAACAAGACCCTACAATCCACTGAAGTGGGAACAACACAACTCTTAGAACTAGAATGGACAGAAAATCGAAATGGGACACCACTAGTTGCATGCAACCAGTAGAGTTGCATGCCCTAGGTTCATTGAAAGGGGAGGAATTGACTTACCCGTCCAAATCAGAATTTCAATCGGATGAAAGGGAAGCTCTCAACTCCGTGAACGAGAGCACACCACCTATTTGAAATTTCAACGGTGGAAAGTGGTGAAAAAGTAGAGAGAAATCAGAGCAAGAAGAGGAGAATGGAACTGAGTTTAGAGAGAGAAAAAGTAACTTTGGAGAATGAAGGAACCCCTTCTAAGATCATAGTGTCTTTGACCCTTTGGGCCTGACTGCCTCAGAAAATAAGGTCACACAGCCCATACAGTTTTTCAGGACCTTACACTTCTAATTTCAATAGTTAAAATTACAAGTTCAATAACTCTTCAAAAACTTTATTTTTGAAAAATTGAATTTTGTATTCTTTAAACGATTTCTTCATTTTTGAATGATTTAATTAAAACATCCACCGCACGCCACGTATCGAGAATGCACACGCACTGTGTCACGGTCCAATGAAAACATCCTTAATATCGTCTTACATTAGTTCGCGAAGCAGAGGATCTATGTCAAGGTGAGGGTTTAATTGTGTATTTTTAAACCACAAAAACCCCTCTTGCTCTCCCTCTTTTCCACACTCACTAGTATTGTTCCAACTCCAACCATGGAAGCAACGCGATTCTCCCCTAATCACTTCCATCCACACTCCTTGCAAACCAAACACAACGCTTCCAGAGGTAAGTTTCCCTCTGTCAACGATGAAAAGGAAAAAAGAAGATGCTATTTATATAAAGCACTGTAGTCTCTTCTTGAACGCTAATTACGCAGTCTGCGTTAAACCTCTTCTATCTCGCAGAAAGAAGATACGTAAAATGCATCAACGGAATTGGTACTAGGGTTTCGCTTTTCACAATCCCCGCGTTCAGCACAAGGATTTCTCCTTCGCGGAACCGGACTCTTTCTGTTAACTTCTCCGACAGGCTCCGGAGTGATTATGCACGCGTCGACGCTCCGAAGGATGAGCTTCCGAACGAGGAGGTTGTTCCCGCCATTCGCGGTGGGGAAACGGCTGTTGCGTTGTCTCCGGAGTTTGATAAGTCGGTAACCTCGCAATTGAAACCTGTAATGTTCAGAAACAGGTTTCTGAACTTCGTGCGGTTGGGTTCCGTGGTAAACGGTGCGGCTGAATCGTTTTTCAAGAGCGAGATTAGGAGGAGGTTGTTCGTGACGGCGGTGCTGATTGTGATTAGTCGCGTTGGTTATTTTATTCCTCTTCCTGGGTTTGACAGAAGGTTGATACCGGAAGACTACCTGAGCTTTGTGTCAGGATCATCTGTTGGTAAGTTGCATTGTGTTGCATTGTTGGCTGCTCACATGTAGAGATTGAGTTTAACTTTGTACCTCTTACAACATAAGACACGTTTTTGATTCTCATTGGTGAATGTTGATTGGATTTAAAGCTTCTGTGAATGTAAAGGGACTATAGTTGAATGTAAGAAAATCAATTGAGGAGAAATGTTTGGTTTAAGTTGCTAATGGCCCCAAAACTCAAATTTGGCACATTTGATCTCAGATTGAATGTTAGCTCAGGTAGCTTGTGAGTGTGAAGTGGTAAATAAAATTTGGACCATTATGTTAGTGCTTTTTATTTATCTTTTTTTTCTTTTTCTCTAGAAAGTAGTGGAAGGGTGATAGTTTAATTCCAAAATTGATTGTAGTTGTGCATGAGATATACATAATGTCCTAAACCAAGATATCTACAATTTGACTTTATCTAAATCTATGATAATATATATGAAAATCTTAAAATAAGATAAGATATGTACTAGTTGAATTGAAATAAATCCTATTATAAGATATAAACCGTTGGATTACAGAATTGGGTCAATAGTCCAATATTTTCTAGAGCAATTTTTTGCTTGAGTATTTTTCTGAGTTTATACATGTGAACAGTCATTCATGTAGCTTCTGGCAGATGAACTTGGTGATTTCTCCGCTGAGCTCAAGCTATCTATTTTCCAGCTTGGTATTAGTCCTCAGATAATAGCGTCCATTATTATGCAGGTATTCCCCGTTTGTTTTTTGAGTTTGTTACACTTTGTTGCAAAAGTTTACTTTTTGTTACTTTGTCAAAGGATGTTCAACTACCTTCTATTATATATGCCTTTTATTTGTTAGGTATTTTACTATTTTGTCCTTGGAAGTTTGTGATATATATGGACCAGTGGTGTTCCTATTTTAAAACAAAATAAATCTTTGGAAAAGTTGCTCTCTGTACTTCAGATTTTGTAAGGAAATAAGTCTTTTGTAAATAAGTATATTTTTCAAGGAGAATGAGTTTTCTTATTACTTTTACTGTGAAGTACATGATTGTAAAGACTCGAGAACACTGAGGTTCTCAACCAGATACCCATTTTTCTTGAGTATTGTTGATTTTTATTTTTTTGTGATTTTGCCTGTTATGAAATGCATTTGTACAATATATTTATGTGCAGGTACTCTGTCATGTTGTCCCTTCGCTAGTAAAGCTACGAAAAGAAGGTCTGGATGGGCATGAAAAGATTAAGAGTTATATGTGGGTCTATTTATCGATCTTGAGAAGTGAACTAATTTCTTGTTTCACATTGTTTTTCCATCTTCCTTTGTCTGATATGTGTTTTTACGAATCTCAACTGATTAACTGTTCATTTTGTTCCGCACATTGCAGATGGTGGATGTCATTTGGCTTTGCAATTTTGGAAGCTTTAATAGTTTCTTGCTACTCACTTCCATATTCAATTTATGCTGCCAGTTACAGGTAATCTGCATTTTTTTTTTGCCTCCAAGATTTTAATAATCCAACAAATAATTGAACTACCAATGTTTTTTCGCAAATTGATATCATGAATATGGGTTACATAGACAATTCTTTATATATTGTAATTCCAACTGATGTCTTTAGAAGTAGATAATCTTAATCATTGGTGGACATAGAAGTGCCATTTTCCTTCATAAGTTAGCATTATGACATTGCCCTTTTTTATAAGCACATTACAAAATTTCTATTCTAAATTTGTCTTAAGCTTTATACTATGGTTCTCATTCTCTTGTTATCATAATTCTACCGACTTAAAGATATTGTGGGACGTCTTGCCTCAAATTCCTTGTTTACATTTTAGATAAAATAGTTGGTACTTTTGCAGGGTCAAACATGTAATGCTGACATCAGTTTTATTGGTTTGTGGTGCAATGACTATTACATGGATATGTGATACTATATCAGAATCTGGATTTGGTATTTTTCTTACTACAAAGCTATTAATTTATCTCCTTTGATTGGAACTGTGGAAATTAAAATTTAAAAGATAACCAGAGCATATGGTAGGGAATGTTATGGATGAATATCAACTTCGTATTTGTAAGAACTATGCAAATAATCAGTGAATGATCCTCAATTAACTTGTCTTATTTATTAGTTAGGCATCATATGTAACCTTGAACCATAAAAGATGACAATGAACAACATTTTATGGTATGGCTTTGATTTTGCCATTCTTTTTTTGAATTTGTCATGCTCTGCTTTGTAACTTCGTAAGTATGTAATCTGCTCTGCAATGGAGGTAAGATTCTTTAACTTGGCATACAATACTGCTTTTTTGAAAGCCTAGTATTTTGTTTTTTATAATTACTTGGAAGGAGAAACTTGTCTTTCCAAATTGTTGGCTTAGATCTGCATCTTTCATTCACTTCTTACTTTGAAGTTTTTGTTTAATTATATTTGCAAATGACATTTTTAAAGTCAGTTTTTATTCAAAAATTGTAGATCTGTTGGAAAGAACACAAGAATCATAATTACTTTGTCAATTTCGTCTGATATTGTTGACTTCATTGTTATCACTTTGCCACACTAGAAAGAAGCTGGGATGTTGATTATTCCCTATACTTAAAGTTATGTGATTTGAAAGACTCACCAGAAATTGAATGTCTGTGTAATTGTTCAATCTGGTGCTTCTAATAATACCATCTTCAGGTCAAGGCTCGTCTTTAATCATATGTGTGGGAATCCTTACGGGGTATATGGAAACATTATACAAGATGCTTACTCAGCTTTCAGGTACATGTCTGGATGTGGATGAAGGCTTTTGAAATTTTACCTCATCTCCCTTCCCTATGTTCCTCATTCTCAAGCTTATTTCCACATATTAAACTAACATGTCTGACATCAAGGAAGTTGATTTTCCCACTCTACTAATGTTTTGACTGAGCATTTTTGGTAACATTGTTTAAGGGGATAAGGCACTGTTTTGTTTGAGAAAATGTTATTTTTTGTTTGGTTCATTTTTTCACTTTTAATTGCTAAAATGTTTGTTACGTTGTTTCTATTTTGTTTTTCATTTTCAAAAGTTTGTATATGAAACTTGAAAATAAGTTATTTCCACTGTTACATAAATTTTTTGAAAACCATACACGAAAATTAAACAACGTGATATTTTTGCAATTAAAAGTTAAAATGTTTTCTCAATGTAAATAATCCTTCAATGTATATAATCCTTCACTGTAAATAATTCATTATTTTTGAAAAAAATTCTCAGGAAGCAGCAAAAAAGAAGCAATAATTCTTCTAAAATATGCTGAGCCAAACACACTTGACTTTCTTGAAATGTATTTTCATTTAATTTTACTTTAGTGATAACGAGTATATCTTAGACATGCTTTTGCATGCCCAAAAATAAAAGAAAAGGAGGACCATAAAGACAAGTAGATAGTTTCAGAGGATTCTTTATATTGCCCACTGATTTGATTAGCATATCAATGAGCAAGCTTGCAGTTGAAATATAGAATATACTTCTGTTGAATTGGTTTTGCTCGTAAGAGCATTATACATAAAATGAATATTACAAAAGTGCTTTTACGAATATAATATCAGAGTATTATACAAATTTGATAAGGTGAAAAACTAAGGCAATATTATTATATTTATATCATTGAATCCTTTGTAACTTTAGCGATTTGTATTTATTAATATTGCAGTGAGTGCTGTGAGCTGGTGGCCATATGTGCTTGCCGTATTGGGTATCTTCACCGTTGTCACTATGTGGGCAGTTGTAGTAACAGAAGGTTGTAGGAAAGTAAAGCTGCAGTACTATGGTTTTAAACTTGCTTCTGCAGCAAGGTAAATGACGTTGTCTTTGTTCAGTCGTTTGAAACTTGTTCTCTTTGAAAATCTAGATGTTAATAGAGTTTTGATATTCTAAAGCATTGTACTTGACATTTTCCATTATGGATTTTTGAGGAAAGTTGTTTGTACCACTGGTTGAGAAAATAGTACATTTGACTGTGCTATGCTCTACCTCTGCCTTGAATATTGACTTATATGGGACCTAGCTTATATGTTTATTAGACTTTATTGCCCTTGTTATTTTTATGCAGATCCAGATAATTTATACTTCCTGTCTTGATGGAATTAAATGATATTTTTGTGTGTACTGATGCTTTTGACAATTGATACTTTCATTCATTTGAATCAGAGAGCAATCGCCTATTACAGAAGTGGAGCCCTATATTCCTTTCAATATTAATCCAGCAGGGATGCAGCCTATTCTTACCACCTCTTACCTCTTGGCACTTCCGAGCATTCTTGCAAGGTTTGTATACAGTCCTTTTCAATATTCAATTGGTATTCTTTGTTCAACCTTATATTAAGTTTCATGCTCTTTTCTCCGTTTGCTAGGTAACACATTTGCCCCATTCTTGTCCACTTGTGCTGTCTAGAAAGTCCTTTCTTATTTAATTCTAAATTGGTATTATTGGCAGTCTGCTGAGTTCACCTTTTTGGGAGCACGTAAAGGAAATATTGAACCCTGAAAATTCTGTCGGTGCTGAGCCATGGGTTTACTATTCCATATATGCTTTTTTTGTCTTCCTGTTCAATATATTTGACATTGTAAGTTTTTCTTTACTGTTACTGTATATTCTATTTGATGTAAAGAGTTTCTAATTTGTATTTTGAGTTTCATTTTGATATAAGCTGTTAATTTACTTTACGAGAATATGTGAAAAAATAGTTGATGGATAAATTTAAGGCCGAATTTGCTTTCAACTGAGAATTTGGAATGGAACAAGAGAAACAGTGTCAAAGCTGTTCCTTACTAATCTACACAATTATCTGATTCCGAGCTGCTTATTTTGATTGTTTTCAACACCATTGAAATTTATGTATTGTAAATCAGTTGAATTGTTGCTCATTAAAAGTTTTTCTAGGTTAAAATATCGAAATGACCTATGTATATTTTGTAAATGGTCTTACACGTGGATTGTGCACAGGCTAACATGCCAAAGGAAATTGCGGATTATTTAAATAAGATGGGTGCGAGAATACCAAACATAAAGCCTGGGAAGGCTACCATAGAATACCTCACCAAGGTTCAGGCATCCACACGATTTTGGGGTATGCTACTGGTGAATGGCTGCAATTTTAGAGTTATATTTTTATTTCTTTATCAAATATATTTCTAGTTATTGTTAATTCACTACCTTGTGGAAAATTTGTAGGGGGGCTACTGTTAAGTGTTCTGGCCACTACATCAAGTGTTCTTGACCACTATTTGCGGCGTGTCAATGCTGGGTTTGCCATTGGTTTTACATCAGTTCTAATCATTGTAAGTGCACGAAAGATTCTTGTAATTGTACTCTGCATGCAAACTCATTGGTAATATCAAATTATCAGGCAAGAAATTCATGCCAGTTGAACTTCCCTGACTTGAATTGCTTTTTACGCAATTCCAATATTGGAGCACAAAATTGGCCTGCTAAGTTATCCTTTCTACTAATTTCAACATCCCAAAAAAAATGAATCATTTGTATTGTGCATACGGGGATTTAGTCGAACACTATTTCTTGTACAAAATGATAATGGATTTGGTTCAAATGTCATACTTATATTACCGTATTGAAATCTGAAATAGTATTTCTTCAAACGTAATACATAAACCATGGAATGCTTTGTTCAACTTCCCTGTCTGTTGTACAGATTAACTGAATAGTCCTTGGTTTTGTTGATCCAGGTCGGTTCCATTATTGAACTCAGAAGATCATATCAAGCATATAATGTGATGCCAAGCTTAAGTAATGCCTTGAGACGATATGGTGTATAACTTATGGAAAAGCTATGCTGTCACTCCCCTGTGCCAATTTGATTTGGACCTCTGGGGTAACATTGGCCACCGTTGTATTTGATGAGTAGCCTAATTTTTCTGTGTAAGGTTTTACAAATTCCGATACGGATGATAATTGATCAGGTCTACCAATTGCTGAAAATATTTCGAGAAAGCTTGGTTTTCCGGGGACATCACAGATTTAGAGTTTAGTTTGGCGGTTTAAGAATATCGAGGTTGGAGTGTTTTGTTGGTAGTAAGGGGATGCTATATTCGGCGTGTCGATACATGATAGTAGCTGATTCAAAAGCCTCATCTTCTGGATTCTTTGGTGGAATTTTTATGAATTTAGGAAACTATGTAGTTAGGGTATAGTTGTAGTGGGAGATGAAATATGTACAGGAATTTATCGTGTTGTTTGGTTGTAGGAGGTTAAATGCCTTTGATAGTGGGTTGGAGTGTTTCTTTCTACACAAAATATTTGAAGCAGCTCTCATCTATTCAGGAATTGATTTTTTCAGAATGTATACTCTGAATAGTACATGTCAGAATATGAGAATTGCCCAGATTTTTATGGGGTACAGGAAGTTAAATTAGTGGGTTGATATCCCAAAGGACTGGCCAAAGTGGTGGGCATTGTTGCACTAACAATGTTGTAACAAGAGACTCAAACCTCTGTGTTTTGAGATTACTTTTTTCTACATCCCCACGGTTCATTTGACATCTAGAATTGATACTTACGTGTTCCGGAACTACTTTGTAAGCAAAAAAGAAACAATAACCAATTCTTGGATTTGGTAGTTTCAAAAGTATATTTCTGATTTGAACGATTTTGTAATTCTAAAACTCCTAAGTTGATGATTTGTTTTCTTTTCCCTCCAAGGAAGAATTTCAATGTTATGAATCGTAAAGTAATTTTAGAATTTTAAAATAATATGGATGCATTTACACTCTTGGAACTTGAATGTTATGAATTTAAGTCGGAAAAATCGAAACGTTCATAACAGGAGTAAGGAAAACGTTGCAGATTTAGGAAAATTAATGGAGAATGGGAGTGAAAAAGGGATTGCCCGAAATTTTGGCTTATGGCAAGGTGATATATACAAAATTTCAGAAAAAGAATGCTTGACTTATGAAAAAAAATAATCGAGGTGTTGAAAAAAGCAAACAATAGGAGCACAATATTTTTTTGCCGTTCAAAAAGCCTTAGGGTGCCATACATCAAGTTTAATGATCCATGAAAGACTTCTGAGCAGTGAGTACCATGCATTTGAGTTTGAGATCCATTGTGTTTCCTTTTCGTTGAAAAAATATTTGGAAATGAAAGAAAACATGAAAAACAATGTCTATTTTATAAAAATTGGCTGGAAAGAAAGTGAAAAGAAAAATTTTCTTTCCTTCAAATCCAATTTTCAAAATTTTTCTCCATCTTTATTTTCCATGAAACAACCAGACCATAAATTATATTGGGCCTGTATGAGTAGGTAGCTGAGCCCACCTTTTGGCGGGTCTTCTGATTTTGATTTTTGACATTTGAATCGAGCAAGAGAATAACCACAGATTTTAGAACGGAAACTATGGCGAACTCAGAACCGAAGACGGATCACGCAGAAATCTATACAGCATTAGATGCCTTGGACGCCTCCTCCATCTTTCACACCTTCTACGACGTCGTGGGGTTTGTTCTTTACATGCACCAGCAAATCCCCTCGTATGTCTTTTCCTTCATTACGAAACGCCCGAACCATTTTTTCATTATTTAGTTAAAAAATTGCAAACACGTGGAATATTTTGCTTCAATTTCGATTTCTAGATTTGATGACATTCAATTTATGCAGCACGGTGCAGGATATGGCCATCGAATTTGAAGCGATGCATTCGGAGTACAAGGAGCTGGTATGTGATAATTATGAGTGGAAATTTTGAATTTTGAGTCGTTATTGTGTCATCGACTTCATGAACCCCGAATTCGTTAACATCAGGAAACGGAGTTGGGAACTGAGGTGAAGCCATCGTTTCGGAGAAAGCATGTTAGCAAAATGAGGGATATCAAGGTAGGAATTAAGAGATTGGATAAGTTGATGAATTCACTTTTGAATTTGCAAACCGCGTTTAAAATCGTGATCGACGAGGTTCCCACCATAGACGTTGTCGTTTTGGCGCTTGGAGCTAGCCCACTTCGACCTCAACATATTTATGAGTTGAATTTTTCCCATTCGATTGGTGTATCCAAGGGCGCTGATGATTTTGCTAGGAGTAAAGCGGCTGAGAGTCTTTCGAGAAAGGTTCCTTATTGTTATTCCTTTTATGTTCCTAGTTAAAATTTTATGTGCTCTGTGCGGGGTAGGAGTGTTGAGATTATGTTTCGTTTTTTCTTTGACAGGCGATTCGGACACTGATATCGAAAGGTGCTGGCTCTGTGACCTATCCCGGTAGTTATTCACTTCTCTAGTAGATAAATATTAAGGTCAATTTTGCTCTGTTGGCTATTTTAGGTGAACTAAATAAGAATATAAAGTGAATTGAACTTCTATTTGTAGGATCTAAATAGAAGAACTTCTTTAAATTTTAACTTACGGAAAAAGTTTATTTCATTTTTTCTTATTTTCTTCTGCTATAAGTGTTTACGAAAATATTATCTAAACAAGGCCTAGGGAGATTAAATACTCAAATTGTTCCTGTAAAGAGCCATGGTCTTAAAGATGGCCCTTCAAAGTTTTGGTATTTCATTGTGTGATAGAAGGATCAAGGTACCAAATTAGTGTTCAGTGGAAATTTGACGGACTAAATTGATGTTTGTTCAAGCATAAGGTGTCAGATTGATGTCCAAAATCTTTGTTGGATCAATTTGATGTGCTGTGTATTTTTGAAGGATCAATTTTAGCATTATCTCTTAATTTGAATGAATTTTCTTTATGTAATCGCATTTTTAGATTTTCTTTTAATGCCACTCTTCTATTTTGTAGGCCCTATCAGATTGTTTATGTTAATAAAGGCCCCTTCTTCTTTCAATCAGCCTTTGCATTTTCTGCCTAAACGCGATTTTAGGTATAACAGAAAGGTAAAATAGACTACGAGGACATATTATGGTTGCCTTTTTACATGTTGTAAATGCGTGATTGTTTTTGACTGCATAAGGCACCGTGTCCTGTATTTGTTAGTCGAGCCTTTCTGTTTCTCACTATTTCTTTATTTGGTAATGAAATAGCAAGTGATATTTATATTTGTTGCTTCCTGAATTCAAATATGGCGCACATTCTGTTTCATCAGAACCTTGTGAAACTTATGTTAATTTTCTGCTCGAACTATTTGCAAGACTGCTGTCATTTCATCATAAAGATCATCAATGACATTTCATCATAAAAGTAATCATTATACAATGAAAGTGATTCAATTTAAACTAAACACCAGATTATCTCATTTCTACCAGTCTATTCATATGATTGTTGCTGTTGTACCCACTGAATGGTAGACCCAAGACCAGGGAGAGCAATTGATTTAAAAAATAAAAATGATAAGTATTAAACGCTCTTATATTGATATACAAGCATTTCACTTGATAGAGGATACAAAAATTAAAAACTAATATATTTTTTTGCAATTTTGGACAAAAGAGGTGGTGCAAATACCCACCCTCATACAAGCAGGTCTGCCATGGCTTGATTTCCTATGAAACTGAGAATTTTTTTCCTGGCACTGTGATAGGCCACATATGTTTTAGACAGTAATCTAAATCTTCAAGTATTTGTTAGGGGGTGTTTGTCAACTTCCAAATCTAGCCAAGAGGATGTAAATAGGACCAAATATATGAACTTTTGTGACAAAGAACCCACTGATACTCAAATTAAATTGAATTTGGTTGAACACCAATTTATAACTGGTTTTACTACAATGTTGTTTCTCTTAAAATTAGAAAACATAAAATAATTTTGATTTCACAGAATTGAGATAGTAAGTTTCTTTTAAGTTCCCATAACAAAATAAATTATGTCAGGGGAGGGGAGTCAAGAAGGGTTGGACCAGGAAAGTGTTTTGGAGTTAGTCCTTTTGAAAACTTTTATATTTAGTAAGCAGCCCCACAGTACATACAAGGATATATTTCTTTTCTTTTGAAGCTACCAAACTCACGGTATGATTTGTGTTTAATGTAATTCATAAATTCTATATGTCAATGATTTTAGATTGGCTTATAGTTGTTATAAATATTGTTTACATTATTTAATCTAGTAGCAGCTTAGTAGGATCACATGCACTATATATCTCAATAAAATGATTTTTTTATGGGATGAGTTTCTGCTAACAAAATTGCATTTCCACCATAGGTTGTGCCTCTCGGGCTACTGTTTAAGTGCAGAAATCAGAATCAGGAAGTGGTCGCTACTACTTCAGAAGATTTAATCTGGTATCTTTCACAATTTATGAATGGGATTCTCGTATATAACTAAGTTTTCTGTTTAGATGAGTTGCCTTGGTGCTGCTTACCGAATTTCCTGTATTTTCACTAGTCTTAACTTAGGTTTTTTGATTGGAAGGGGAAAATCCAGCAAACACCTCCCGTCCGTTCTTCATTTGACATATTATAGTTTTTGCAGTCAATTCTTTCATTGCTTTTTTATTTATTAATTTTTACATTCGGAGTATTGTCAGGGTTTTTATGTCTGAGCTGATCGTTACTGTTTGTCAGGGGACTGTTAATTTTCATTGCTGATTGATATTTGTGGCCTCCCAAAAATAGCAGTACATTTTACATATACTATTTATATAGTTTCCTCTCTCATGATGCAGACTCTAGTCTTTTTCTGTCTTCTGTATTCCCTTGTATTTTTCTTCGTTGCTTACTTTTCATCCTTCTGTTTGTTACAGGTTTCAATGTCGACATGTGATAAAAGGCCTTGCAATGAACACATTGCCAGAAGAATAAAATCCTCCACTTTACAGTAAGATAGGAAAAACATGTAAATATATGATTCATGCTTGAAGCTAATGTTTTCTTGTTGTACACTTGATCTTAATGAACACGCTGCTAGCTTGTTAATCTGGATGTCATTATTACACAGCATATTAGACAAAGACTACAGATGTTGGCCTGGTAAGATATGTTACTCATTTGAGGATTCTTGATGTATAAAAAAAGAAAACAGCGTCTGGAAAAACAATAATTGCTTTGCAACTACTCACTGACATTTAATCCCCAAGAATATGGAAGTTGTGATCAAATGCTACATTGCTTTACTAAGATTTAGCACAGGCAGCCAGGGGTGCATTCATCGGTAATTGCTAACGAGTGATTTTTGAGCCAACGGTAACTGGTAATGGGTTGGACAGTCTGTACCATCCTCAAGGGTTTGAAGGTACAATTTAATTATTTTATCTGTTAAGATTAGGACGTCTGCAGTTCGAGAGAAGACATTTTTGAGTTTATTGTGACACTTTAAAATTGAGAATTTGAGACTCACAATATGTTATAGTCACCCGTAGTTAATTATTTTCTGCTGTTCTTTCTCGTTTTGGTTTTCCTAAAGGGTTTTGAAATTCTCATCGAAAGGGGTTCCTTTCTACAACTTCAACTAGAATGGAGGAT